TGACAACCCCGAAGTGAAGGGCAATTGCGCTGTATGCTGACAAAGTCATCCTTGGACATAAAATCTGGGAAAATAAAAGGACTCACGGTGGGAGAAGAGGAGGTAGGAGAAACCGGTGTTATGGTCTGAGCCCTAGTCAAGACATTGAGAGTGCCGGAGGAAATACCCTTACTTTCCACCCGACGAGTGGACAGGTGATCCTGCTACCCCCGCTATCGAGAGCAGATCATCTGTTTCCACCCCCAAATGAACAGTACGAGACAACGCAGCTTCCGGTGCAGAATTGTAAAGGGGATTATTTAACTTGCAAGGAAGAGTAGCTGGAAAACTTAGATCCACGGGGGGTTTGACGAAAGATCCGCCTCTGAAGGAAAACGGCACCTTTAATGTTACCCACTATTATAGAACAGTAATTGGGGCTAGTACCGCATTAGTCCAACCGGTGAACCATTTAGTTTTCAAGTAACAACGTATTGTAGGGAAGGTATTTTCACGACCTAAGTAATCTGAAAGAATAGAGGACACACGAGAGGTTTTAAAGTAAGGGAACAGTTTGTCCGAAATTACGATGCACGTACATCCAGTGTCACGTAATATATCTGAGACTTTTATACCATTAACTGTTCCTGAACAGAAGGGTGCATGGTCATTACCGTCAACAAAACATCTTCCAACTTTTTGGACCTTCTTAGAAGGACAATCTGGACGTTTATGTCCCTTAACACCACACAAATGACAAACAGGAATAAAAGAAGTCACTTTACTTTCCACTAGAGGCTTTGATTTCTTAAGGTCTGATGAACCCTTGCCCTTAGGGTTCGATCCCTTTAGGTCTTTATAGGAATTGTGAGCCTCAGCATACAAGTCAGAGGCCTCAGCAACTTCCTCAGCTTTAATCAGGTTACGTTCTCTAATGAATGTTCTTATCTGGTGGGGAAGAGCTGTCAGGAACTGGTCAGCAACCATGAAGTCTCTAAGAGATTCATAACTGATCAATTCCTGAACTCTCTATCCAAAAGTCGAACAAACGAAAGAGTGCTACCTGTAACTGCTGAAAGTTCTGGCCAGGTTGTAAGGTGGCATACCTGAAATCTTTCCTGTAAGAATTAGTGGTTTTTTGATATGCTTTAAGGATTGCCTTCATCAGTAGGCTATAATTATATATGATGTCCTGCGACAAAGTTGCATAGATATTTAAGGCTGTACCAGAAAATAACATTCCTAACCTGGTAGCCCAGGTGTCAGCAGGCCATTCACAGAGGGTAGCAGTATTTTCAAACCTGATGATGTATGAAGTAATGTCTTCACCCTCTGTGAAGGGAGGTAAATTAAGTGTTGGAATATGTGCACTAGCTGCATGTTGTTAAATTATTCCTTCCTCTAATTGTTCTTGTGTAAGAGTTAACTTTTTATTCTCTAATTCAAGGTGAGCTTTTTCGAGCTCGCGATCCTTTTCTCTCTCTATTAACTCAAGTTCTCTAGCTTTTCCCCCACGTTCTCTAGCTTTTTCCTCACATTCTCTAGCTCTTTCCTCAACTTCTCTATCCTTTGCTCTTTCCTCAAGTTCTCTTAACATAACTTGTTCCTCACGTACTTTAGCTTGTTCCTCACGTACTCTAGCTCTCTCCTCACGATCAAGTCTATCACGCTCCTTTTTGTCTTCTTTCTTTCTAACTGTCTATCTTGGTTTTCTCTTTCAATTCGATCTCTCTCCTTTTTATCCTCTCATTCTCTTTCTAACTGTCTTTTTTGATTCTCTCTCTCTATTCTTTCTCTCTCCTTATTCTCTTCTCTTCCGATTCTCTCTCTCTCTCTTTCAAGTCTTTCCTGGATCTTAACACTAATGAAAGATTCTAAATTTTTCCCTGTTATTCCTAACTTCCAGCGTTCATCCAAAACTGGTATTCCTCCATACTTGCAAGAATAACTTAGACTAATAAGGGAAATGAAACGGGTATTAAAGAAAATGGAGGGTTCAATTAATGCTCCGCTCAAACTGTAAATAAACCATAGGGCTCGATCCCTACTTCAATTAAACAATATGTATTAATTAAAACGAAGGGTTCTATGTAGGCTCCGAGCAAACAGTAAGTAGAATGGGGTCACTTGACCATTAAATCTTCTCACCCACAAATCAAGAGTGTCCTACAACAGTTCCCTTGATATAATAAAGAGCTCAATGAAACAAATTGACACTGGAAAATCTCGGGTCCCTAGAGTCTAATCCTCCAAAGTGTTTCAAGCTCGAAAGGTGGCCCGAGTTTAAAAATTAAAATCCTGCTTGCTTGACTTACAATAAATTGAGACTATAACAATCACCAAATCTTTTAAATACCGTACCGTAGTCCTACCATAGAGGATGATTACTCATGGCTGGTGGTAACCGTCTGTGGTATGCAGCGTTGAAGTTCCAATGGTAGATTCGAGATGGAATTGAATCTTGATTCAGTAGAGTTGATCCTGGCAAGGTCGCCACTTGTGAAGGCTTACTCAGCCCTGTAACAACTTCAGTCAGTATTACCAAGGATGGCTCCTCCTCAGGAAAATTAATGAATAAAAAAAGAAATAATAACAGATAATGATAAACACTTTATTATTTAGAAACGGAAAATGTAAAACAATAAAACTTCAATGGGTATCTAATTGAAAGAAAAATGAAATGAAAAAAAATTGCATTTGAACTCAACGCTAATATAGGTATATCGTGGTAATGGGGTGTCAGGTGTTGGTGACACTGCGTGTTGTTGAAATCGTAGCCGTTGCTGATGTGGGGGGGGGGGGTAGCAGGGGTTGGTCACCACCACTGGCTCGTTCTTCACAGAGTATAGCCGTGTGTAATTACTTCAGATGACAGGAAAACAGGTTCGTTACCACTGCTATGATGAGGGGTTGGGTCCTGTGTTGGTTTACATAACAGGTAAGTAGACTAAACATGGGACGTCTCAGGACGTTATTCCATCTTCTTCTATTCTTCTCGTTGGTTGGCAGGTGACCCTCTCTGTCATTCCAAGCTGTAATGAGAGACAGATTACCCACTTGCTTAAGAAATCCCCTCTCCATGATAAGTACAATACCTAAAAGATGTGGTGATTATTAAAACATTTAACAGATAAAGAATGAAAGGATTAAGTAAATTATTGGTCAAAAGTGAAGCTTTCAACCAATAATTCCACTAAAATATGATCAGGCGTGTACTTACAGTAGTGTTGGGAGCTGTGAGTCGAGTGATTTACTGTTTGACCGGAGCCCCACACGTCACCTTTCGGGGGGGGGAGAGGGAGGGGAAGGGATAGTGGGAGCTAGACTGACCCTACCTTAACAAGCAGCCGGCAATCAAACTATCACTTTCGGGGAGGGGGAAAAAGGGGGGAGGGGGAATAGCGGGTGCTGGACTTACCCTACCTTAACAAGTAGCCGGCAATGAAACTATTGTTACTATACACTCCCTCCATACTCCTATCTATTGAACTTTTTCCTCACACTAGTAAGACTGATGCATGCAGGGGATGAGATGAAAAGCTGTAAGCCTTCTCCCTGAAAGCTGGCTGCCTTGGATCAAAGTCTAGCGCAAGCTGGACTCCAAGGTATTTGGTACAGTGTGGTAAGTTTGGTATAGCACTGCATACCTTGTTCCGAGATTCGCAGGTTCGAGTCTCCTTCAGCCAGAGATAAGTGTTTGTGTATATTTCGCCTGCTCTCGCGAATTCCTAGCATTGTTAAAATCTCTAGTAAGGCTGATGCATGCAGGGGATGAGATGAAAAGCTCTAAGCCTTCTCCTTGAAAGCTGGCTGCCTTGGATCAAAGTCTAGCGCAAGCTGGACTCCAAGGTATTTGGTCCAGTGTGGTGAGTTTTGTATAGCACTGCGTACCTTGTTCTAAGGTTCGTAGGTTCGAGTCTCCTCCAGCCAGAGATCAGTGTTTATATATATATATATATATATATATATATATATTATATATATAAACACTGATCTCTACCTGGAGGAGACTCGAACTACGAACCTTATATATATATATATATATATTTATATATATATATATATATATATATATATATATATATTATATATATATATGAGAGAGAGAGAGAGAGAGAGAGAGAAAAGAGAGGAGAGAGAGAGAGAGAGAGAGAGAGAGAGACACGAGAGAGAGAGAGAGAGAGAGAGAGAGACATTGCTGGCGCTTTTGACCTGGTGTGGCACCAGGGCCTCTTAGCAAAACTTCAAGCACTGGGAATTGCAGGCTCTACGCTATGTCTCCTCAGTGATTACCTTCATGGTAGATCTCTAAGTGTAGTTATCAATGGAACTGAATCAGCAAGACACCAAATTTGGCAAGTGTTCCACAAGGAAGCGTGCTGGGTCCATTGTTATGGAATGTCTACTTCAACGACCTTCTTCATCTCATCCCAGAATCACATGCATATGCAGACGACTGTACACTGACATTCACTTATCCAAGAGAAGAAATGCCAGCTGCTCTAAGCTACATCAATCACCAGCTGAGAGCTATATCATCTTGGGGAAATAGATGGCAAGTAACATTTGCACCGGAGAAAACGCAAAGGATGATCGTCTCTAGGCACCATGAAATGGTGAAATGAAAATGCTGGCCCACAGATGGCTCCAACTTCATCCTGTTTCCTACTTGTATGTCTCATAACAATAAAAATGCTTTCAAATGAGCTGATGTAGGTAACAGCTCTTAGCTTGCCAATAAAGTTAGGAATCCTTAACCTGTAAATAGCTGTCAATAAAGCTAGGGATCGTTAACCTTGTCAAACCCTGTGTAAAAAAAAAAAGAGAGAGTGAGAGCGAGAGAGAGAGAGAGAGAGAGAGAGAGAGAGAGAGAGAGAGAGAGAGAGAGAGAGAGAGAGAGAGAGAGAGAGAGAGAGAGAGAGAGAGACAGAGAGAGAGAGAGAGAATTGATTGATAAGATAAGGAGGTTGTGGTGAGTATAAATGGTGGCGGGGAATATGACTCTTCACCAGAGACCAGCCATGAAGACCTTCGTGTTCTGCCTTCTCCTCGCTGGAGCGCTCGGTGAGTTCCCTCTGTAAACACCGTCAATGATGTTTAAACCTGCACTGCAATATAATCGCTATTGAATTTTGATCTTTTTGTATTTTACAACAAAAACACTAATTACGAGGAGTTAATGAGTAAATTTGGCATTATTATACATTTACGAACACGCGCTAAACCCCTATGGAGAAATCAGTTTTGATCCAGTAAGACGAGTAAGTGAAAAGGTTGCTCCATTTCCTTACATCAAGTGCTCATCACAGGTGTCAGGTCACTCCATGTTGAAGCAAGAATTTAAAATCTCGACTATTTTTCTCACAGCCGCTCCATCGCACAAGCTGAGGTTCAGTTTAGGTAACTACAAGATCGTGGGAGGCACCGATGCTGAGCCTGGTGAGTTTCCTTATCAGCTGAGCTTCCAAGACATCAGTTACGGTGATGCGTGGCACTTCTGTGGCGCCTCCCTCTACAAGGAGAACTGGGCCATCTCTGCTGGTCATTGTGTCTACGGTGAAGACTTTAACAATCCAGATTATCTTCAGGTAAGTCGTGTATTATTTCACATATAAAGGGGGCGTACATTATAGAGAGTTTAAATACTCTAATTATAGTTTACTCTAATTTATATAGATACATTATATTAATATGTTGTGACACTGATTACTCAGTGGAGGAAGCTGGTATATATACATCATTTGAGTCACAGTTAACCAACAGGTAACTAACACTCAGAGGGATTAACTCTGATGGGTTACATGCTTTGTTTTTCTTGAGGCAATATTTAAAAATTTCATATTTTTCTTTGGCCAGGATGACTGTTTATGTAAAATGTATATTAAAACACCACGCAGTTTTGAAAAGCTGCATCTCCACGCCTTAAATATTGTGAATAAATGGTTTAGAAAAACCGAGAAGTTAGTAAATGAGACACTTGGGCATCATTTGTGTACGTAAAATGTATCCTAATTTAATATATTTTGTAGTTCTGAATGCAGATAAATTCTTAAACAAGACGTTTGATACAATTCCACACAAGAGATTAGAGCAAAAGCTGGAGGATCAGGCAGGGATAACAAGGAAGACACTGCAATGGATCAGAGAATACCTGTCAGTAAGACAACAGCGGGTAATGGTACGTGGTGAGGTGTCAGAGTGGGAGCCCGTAACGAGCTTGGTTCCACAGAGGTCAGTCCTAGGACCGGTGCTGTTTCTGGTATTTGTGAACGAAAAGACGGAAGGAAAAGACTCCGAAGTGTCCGTGTTTGCAGATGATGTGAAGTTGATGAGAAGAATACATTCGGATGAGGATCAGGCAGAACTACAAAGGGATCTGGACAAGCTGTAGGCCTGGTCCAACAACTGGCACCTGGAGTTCAACCACACTAAGTGCAAAGTCATGAAGACTTGGGGAGGGTACTGAAGACCGCAGACGGAGACTACGAACCTCACTCAAGGAAAAGGATCTTGGATTGAGTATGACACCTGGAATATCTACTGAGGCGCACATCAACCAAATAACTGTTTCAACATACGGGCGCCTAGCAAACCTATGAACAGCATTCCGACATCTTAATAAGGAATCGTTCAGGTGGACCCTGTACACCGTGTACGTTAGGCCCATATTGGAGCATGCAGCACAAGTTTGGAACCCACACTTATCCAAGCACGTAAGGAAACTAGAGAAAATGCAAAGGTCTGCAACACGACTAGTCCCATAGCTAAGGGGTATGTCCTACCCGCAGTGCGGGTCTGTCACTGGCTGCAGCTTCTCTCAGAATCCGAGAGAATTCTGAAAGTTGCGGCCGGTGACTGACCCGCACTGCGCTACACTGAGGAAACTTCCCCTGCTTCAGTTGCTGCCTTGCAACATTGCGTAGCTCCTGATGATGCACTGAGAAGTGTGAAAGTACTTGAGCTAAAGATTTCCACCACCCCCGTGGCTTGTCTTATATATATATATATATAATATATATATATATATATATATATATATTATATATATATATATATATATATATATAAATATATATATATTTTATATATATATATATATATATTATATATATATATATATATATATATTTATATATATGGTATAACCTTGGTAATAAATACGACAAGTTGGTTTAGAAAGACACGTAAGCAAACACTATAACATATTTATTAGAAAACGTTTCGGTCCGGGTTTCCCAGGACCGAAACGTTTTCTAATAAATATGTTATAGTGTTTGCTTACGTGTCTTTCTAAACCATATATATATATATATATATATGTATGTATATGTATATATATATATATCTTTCTTTCTTTCAACACACCGGCCATATCCCACCAAGGCAGTGTGGCCCAAAAAGAAAAACGAAAGTTTCTTTTTTAAATTTAGTAATTTATACGTGAAAAGGGGTTACTAGCCCCTAGCTCCCGGCATTTTAGTGGCCTCTTACAAGTTGCATGGGTTACGGAGGAAGAATTCTGTTCCACTTCCCCATGGAGATAAGAGGAAATAAACAAGAACAAGAACTAGAAAGAAAGTATAAGAATACCCAGAGGGGTGTGTATATATATGCTTGTACATGTATGTGTAGTATGACCTAAGTGCAAGTAGAAGTAACAAGACATACCTGAAATCTTGCATGTTTATGAGACAGACATAAGACACCAGCAATTCTACCATCATGTAAAACAATTACAGGTTTTCGTTGTACACTCACTTGGCAGGACGGTAGTGCCTCCCTGGGCGGTTGCTGTTTACCAGCCTACTATATATATACACACACACACACACAACACACACACAACACACACACACACACACCACACAACATATATATTATATATATATTATATATAATATTTATATATATATATATAATATATATATATATATATATATATATATATATATTATATTATATTATATATATATATATATATATTATATATATATATATATATATATATAAGTGAGACCACGAAGCAAGTGATTTTGAATCATTTACCAAAATGCGGCAGGCCAGGATTCGACCCCACGACACATTGTCTCGCCTCAACAGGCCACACAATGAACATGTCACCATACCATTTGAGCCATTGATCCTTCAAACAACATGAGCCGAGCGAACTTGTTTCTTGGTTTCATTGCTATATGGATTGCTTGTGGAGGCGGGTGTTCAAAGAGGAGGAGGCTGAAATCAATCCTTGAGGATACATCTACTACTAGTGTCCTCGCAACATAAAACAAGCCTAGTTCGCTAGGCTCATGTTGTTTGTAGGATCGATGGCTCAGATGATAAGGTGACATGTACATTGTGTGACCTCTTGAGGCGGGACAGTGTGTCGTGGGGTCGAATCCTGGCCTATCGCAGTTTGGTAAATGATATGACTGAAGGTGAAAGGACAACATTCAGAATGTGTGACCCTTGTCTAGGTAAAAGACTGAATTCTAATTTATTTACCAATGCATCAAGCTTTTAAATAGTACATATGTTTAAGTTGCTAGTCTTTTTTTTTCATGTGACGTGATGAGGATGTTGAATTTTAATATCTCACAAACTAATTATAGTTATTTCATTTTCTTTCTCAGGTTGTGGCTGGTGAACACGACATGTCTGTAAACGACGGCAATGAACAAACATCTGTTCTGTCTAAAATCATTCTTCACGAGGATTTCAATGCATATTACCTGTATAATGACATATCCCTCCTTCAACTAGCTACGCCTGTTACTTTCAGCGAATTTCGTCGATGTAATGCACTTCCCGAACAGGGTCAGCAAGCCTCTGGTGACTGCGTCGTCACAGGCTGGGGTACCTTTTGAAGAGGGAGGAGACACTCCCAATATCTTGCAGAAAGTGACTGTCCCTCTCGTGTCAGACAGTGAATGCCGCGATGACTATAGTGTGGATGACGTTTCTGATTCCATGATTTGCGCTGGCGTTGCAGAGGGAGGAAAGGACTCATGTCAGGGTGATTCTGGTGGACCTCTGGCGTGTGATGACACTGGATCTCGCTATTTAGCTGGCATCGTTTCTTGGGGGTACGGCTGTGCTCGTCCCGGCTACCCCGGTGTGTACACTGAGGTGGCTTACTTCTCTGACTGGATACAGGAAAACACCGCGTAAAATATCTATTTGTGTGAAGCTGTGACCTTTGTAATGATAACAATGCAAGGTTTACTATGTTATTTAAGGTAGGATGTGTAGTGATACTGGTCCTGTGGGGAGCAGCAGCAGGATAATACTGCACCACCTCTAGGGGCCCTTAACAACAACAACAGTTTGGCGTGCGTCATGGGCACCAACATATGGTGTGTGATTCTCTACTACTTTATCCATTTATCACCGATGCAGATTACATGGTGAGTTTAAATATGTGGCCTGTAGTTATAACTTTTCTCTTGACATATGCAAGACATCACCATCCCTGTGGAAGCCATTATTAGATGTACTAGTCATTATATTTTGTTGTTGCAGAAGTACTATGAAGATTCTATGTTCAATAAAGCCTAGAGATAAGGCCTGTGTTTCTATCACAACAGGATGGTTATTTTCAAGGAAAGAATCTACAACATGAAGAGTTACAACATTTCTGAAACTCATGTGTCTCACTGTGTCGAATGTGACTTGTAAACTTGATTCGAAACTAGCTTTTCAAAAATTATAATTACATCGTCCTAGAGCCGAATTACTGAACATCATGCGTATTTATCCTCAATGAATAAAATTGTGGAATTGAAAAAAACTTTTTTGTATATTAAAAAATTTATCCCACAAATTTGGAGACTCTTAATAGTATTGGAACTGGAATTGTAATGGGTATGCTTTTGATACATAGCAAAAAAAAGGAAAATTATGGTTACAGTTGGAAAATTTAAAAAAGTTAATTAAAAAGTTCCCTTAAATTTGTCTTACTACTTAACCTTTTCTATCACATTTAAAGGTTTCAACTATATTTTTGGCACATTACACTTTGTCTCGATATTTTTCCAATATTGATTCCGGGCACGAAGCGTCAATTAAATTATGTTACTACATATATATATATAATATATATAAAAATATTATATTAAATATATATATTATATATTATATATTTATTATAAATATAATATATATATAATAATTATATATATATATATAAAATTATGTTTATATACAATATTAATACATTACATATATATAATTTATATATAAATAATTTAATCTATATATATATATATAAATATATATATTATATATATTTATATATATATAATAATATAAAACCTATATATAAAGGATGCTGATGTGTAATAAAGCTCTATGTCCATTTCCACAGGTTCAGCAGGAGGTTTTTCACCGGTTTAAGGCCTAAACACTTAATCAAATACCATTCCAGCACTTGGTGAGGTTTCAGAGAGGCTGCTGTCTAACTCCGAATTTTCCAACCTGTGCCTGGCTGGCGGTGTCCCAGGGGCCCATCAGACCCTTTTTCTTTGGTGCCTCATTGTGTGCCCTCCGGAAAAAGGATGGCGGGATCAGGCCCATTGCAGTGGGTAACACCCTTCGGCGCCTAGTCGCCAAGGCTGCAGTAAGAAGGGTGAGTCAAGAGGCTGTTTGCAATGCGGAAACCAACTCAGCTCGGTTTCGGCGTTCAACAGGGCTGTGAAGCAGCTGCCCATGCAGCACGAGTATATATCAAAAACATGTCCTATGAAAAAGCCTTGGTCAAATTGAACTTTGCCAATGCTTTCAACTCAGTCAGAAGGGATGCTGCCCCTCAAGCAGTTTATAGAAAAATTCCCTTCCCTTTATCCTTCATAGAATCGTGTTATAGTGTGACTTCCAAACTATTTTTTGGGGACCCTGAAATTGGGCTCGTGTGAGGGCGTGCAACAGGGGGACCCTCTCGCCCCCTTTCTTTTTTTGTTTGGTCATCAAGGAAAATCACGGAGGCACTCTCCAGCGAGCTCAATATCTGGTTCCTGGACGACGGTACCCTGGCTGGCACAAGAGAATCTCTCCTGGGGGACATCAGTAAAATTAAAGACATGGGGGGAAAACCTGGGCCTTTCTTTAAAAACCCCACCAAATGTGAAATAGTTTCTACCAACCAACAGATGATCCAGAATATTAGTGCCGTTTTACCAGGAGCACGAGCCCTTGATCCCGCCAATAGCACTCTCCTCGGTGCTCCTCTTGGGTCCAATGCCATCGATCTGATCCTAGGAAAAAAAGTCTCAGACCTTCGGACGATGGAAAGCAGGATGAAAGACATTGACACACACGATGCCTTCTACCTACTCACCAGGTGCCTAGAGATTTGAACAATGTGTATATTTCGCATGCTCTCGCGAATTCCTTGCATTGTTCAAATCTCTAGAAAGGCTGATGCATGCAGGGGATGAGATGAAAAGCTGTAAGCCTTCTCCCTGAAAGCTGGCTGCCTTGGATCAAACGTGTAGCGCATGCTACACGCCAAGGTATTGGTCCAGTGTGGGTAGATTGGTAAAGCAATGCGTACCTTGTCCTTAGGTTCGTAGGTTTGAGTCTCCTTCAGCCAGAGATCAGTGTTTGTGTATATTTCGCATGCTCTCGCGAATTCCTTGCATTGTTCAAATCTCTAGTAAGGCTGATGCATGCAGGGGATGAGATGAAAAGCTGTAAGCCTTCTCCCTGAAAGCTGGCTGCCTTGGATCAAACGTGTAGCGCATGCTACACGCCAAGGTATTGGTCCAGTGTGGGTAGATTGGTAAAGCACTGCGTACCTTGTCCTAAGGTTCGTAGGTTCGAGTCTCCTTCAGCCAGAGATCAGTGTTTGTGTATATATAATATATATTATATATATATATAAATATATATAATATATATATATATGTAAATATATATATGCAATAAGATCACAGTTAACAGGTGATTTTAAATTATGCAAAACAACCACTGTGAAAGAGTAGTGAAATTCCAAGCGCTATCGTGACTACTCACATTGTCAAGGAACTAGTTTGATACTACAGTTTAAAAGTCAGCCTCCAAACTACCAATATCCCAAACCCTTCTTTGAAAGTGCAGGCACTGTACTTTCCATTTCCAGGACTCAATTCCGGCTAACAAGTTTCCCTGAATCCCTTTACAAAATATTACCCTGCTCTCAATCCAACAGCTCGTCAGTTCCCAAAAACCATTCGTCTAAATTCAATCCTAAAACACTCACACATGCTTGCTGGTAGTCGAAGCCCTTCGCCCACAAAACCTCCTTTACCCCTCCCTCCAACCTTTTCGAGGACGACCCCTACCCCACCTTCCTTCCCCTTCAGAATTATACGCTCTGCAAGTCATTCTATTTTAACCAATTCTCTCTAAATAACCAAACCAGTTCAACAACCCCTCTTCAGCCCTCTGGCTAATGCTTTTAGTAACTCCACACCTCTTCGTAATTTCCACACTCCGAATTCTCTTTATAATATTTGCACCACACATTGCTCTTAGACAAGACATCTCCACTGCTTCCAGCCGCCTCCTCGCCGCAGTATTTACAACCCGAGCTTCACATCCACATAAGAGTGTTGGTACGACTATACTTTAATACATTTCCTTCTTTGCCTCCATGGATAACGTTTTTTTGTCTTCACAGATACCTCAACGCACCACTTGCCTTTTTTCCTTCATCAATTCTATGGTTAACCTCATCCTTCATAAACCCATCCACTGACAAGTCAACTCTCAGATATCTGAAAACATTCAATTCTTCCGAGCTCCCTCTCTCCAATGTGACATCCAATTTTTCTTTACCTAAATCGTTTGATATCCTCATCACCTTACTCTTATTTATGTTTACTTTCAACTTTCTACCTTTACATACCCTCCCAAACTCATCCACTAACCTTTGCAACTTTTCTTTAGAATCTCCCATAAGCACAGTATAATCAGCAAAAAGTAACTGTGTCAACTCCCATTTTGCATTTGATTCCCCATAATTTAATCCCAGCTCTCTCCACAGCACCCTAGCATTTAATTATTTTTAAACCCCATGTATAAATGTATTAAACAACCATGGTTGTTTAATATATATATATATTATATATATATATATATATATATATATATATATATATATATATATATATATATATACGATGTCTATATACAGTGAGAGAACTTTATACTATTATTACTATTACTGTAATCAAAGCTAAGCGCTAAACCCACCAGGGTCATAGAGCGCTGCTCCTAACTTAGAAAATAAAATATTCGACATCCCTGTGGAAAATACGACAATCTCCACGATGTCTCATCGTGTGAGAATTAAGCCCAAGTCTGCTGTCGTCGATGACGCCACGAAGCTTGAGCTTGCAGCTTCTCTCAACACTTGTATTCACGCAAAGTTCTCCAAGATCACGTCACTGAAAGAAGCTTTCATCGTCACTTTTCTCGATGATACTGAAGCTGACAAGGTGCTTACACCTACTGCCTTGAAGACCTTAGAAGACCGAGGCTTTACCATCTCTACGTCACTATACATGCTTGCAAAACGTACAGTGTTTATGAAACGTCTTGACAAGCTAATCACGAACATGACCATCCAGGAAATTACTACATCACTTGAAGACCTCAACACCTGGGCCAAGATTGACAATGTAGTGAAGATCCCCAACGCTTCCTCAATGCTCAAGGTCACATTCCTGGACGTTACCATGGCGACCAGAGCACTGTCTGATGGCCTGGCCATCTTTTACTACTACATCAACCCTCGACAGATTGAACCTGAACGCTTCACGTACATAACACCTTGCTGGACATGCTACTCGTACAGTCACTCTACTGCCGACTGCCACGTGAAGAATAAGAAGATATGTTCCACCTGTGGGTCTGCAGGACACGATTTTCGTTCTTGCACTTCCACTGTTGCTCCCACTTGCATCAACTGTAAGAGTGATCACCATACTCTTGCAGCCAAGTGTCCAGTGCGAAAGGATATCCTTTCTAAGAAACTAAAGGAAGAAACAAAGAAGTCATCTGGAACTCTCCTACATACGCTGCAATTGCCAAGATTCATCTACAACATCCAAGATTCTACAAGCTACTCAACAATCGTCTCCAAGAATACTTCAAGCATCTACTCAGCCCGCGTCCACCGTCATCACTCCTCCAACATGTGACGTAACCAAGATCCACTACTGTTTATTATACGCTCACATGCAGAACATGGCTGTACCTGGATCATTTAACTCTACCATCAACGAGTTATTTGCATTAAATAACATGCTTCATTTACATTTCCCGCATCTCCACCTTCTGAAGAAATTCTCAAATTCACCAAAAACTTAATCGCCAACTCTTCTGCAGAAGTTCCATCAACACCACCAACTAGTGACGTCAATCCACAACGACCAATGAGAAGCCTCCCACCGCCACCACCTCTCACTGAATCCAACCAATCAGAAGCCTTACCACCAGAAACATCTTCTAATTCGTCTACTGAAGTTGAAAACGAAGCAACACCACCTTCCTCTACTCCACCACCGCCTTCTCTACTTAGCTCACGTCGATTACCTGGAACACCCATGGGTTAAACACAAAGGCTCATATTCTACACCACGAGGCTGTACCCTGCAAGCATGACTCGCCTAGAACTCATCCAACATCTCCAAGACAACACTGTATCATACCAAAGCGAAGAAAGACCACTCCCTACCTACAACCAGATACTCCACCTCCTCCAAACCAACGAAGACTACTACAGCTCTCCCATAAGTGTGATACAACTCTCTCGAAAACAATGTACCGCACTGATAAACGGTTTAAGACCATAACCAACTCATCCTGCTTGCTGCCTTCTGACACTCCCAGCTCCTACCGCTGCCTTCGCCATCCTCTCCTAGTGAGCCAAGCAATGACATCAGTCAAGCCTCTCTATCTACGTCTCCAGTACTTTTGTACCACATGTCCCAAAGTGGTTGGGCCACTTGCTTTGATTCCTCCTCTTCCCCTCCTCCCCATCCTTTTCCAGTTATTTCCATCCTTCCTTATCCTTCTTCCTTCCCATCTTACGACAGCTCTCGTCGTCCTCGATCCGATCCGATCCGATCCTGTGGAAATAACAGCAGTTTTATTCACATAATCGTCCTGTAAGGTTAAATGTTCTTCACCTGCTCCAATGTCAGGGAAGTCAATGTTGGTACTGGGAGCCCTGGGTGGATGTTTGTCCTTCAGGGCTTGTGCTGTAATGATGTCCTAAGGAGCGATGGCATCCTCACTGGATACAAGCCTCAGTGCTTTAATGGTACTACCGTCTTCTATTTTTTTGCTAATTTGGGCTCTGATTTTTGAGGCGTCAGGTGTCGAGTTGTTGGTATTTGCCCGGCTGGTGCTTGTCTCTCTAGAGGAGAAACGGACGAGGTTGTCAGCCCTATGGAATGCATTTATTGACCTAAGAACAAATGTTGCTAGTGACCTGTCCCTCCTTGGTGGGACAACCAGAAAAAATAATTGTATTGTATTATATATATATATAATATATATATATATATATATATATATATATATATATATATATATGGTATTTATATATTATATATATATATAATATAATATAAATATATATATAAATATTATATATATATATGCATATAAATATTATATAAGTATATATTTATATTTTATTATATTTATTTATAATTATATATATATAATATATATAAATATAAAATATATATATATATAATATAAATATATATATAATATATATGGGGTCCCCCTCTGGTGTAAATTGTGGGGACCATTGCCTCGGAAGAAAGGAAAACAAGACTTCAAGGAAGAATATTTGGATTTCTTCTGAAGCCGTTGAATATTCCACTCCCCTACCCACCCAATTCTTTTAGTATATTATTTATTTATATATATATATATATATATATATATATAATATATAAAATTTTATATATATATTTTAAAAATAAAAATATTATATATATATATATATATTCATACATATTTTTTTTTCAACAAACCACCCGTATCCCAAACCAAGGCAGGTGGCCCAAAAAGAAAAAACGAAAGTTTCTCTTTTTAAAATTAGTAATTTTACAGGAGAAGGGATTACTAGCCCCCTTTCTCCTGGCATTTTAGTCGCCTCTTACAGCACGCCATAGCTTACGGAGGGAAGAATTCTCTTCCACTTCCCCATGGGGATAAGAGGAAAAAACAAGAGCAAGAACTAGAAAGAAAAATACAGAAAAACCCCGAGGGTGTGTATATATACTTGTACATGTATGTGTAGTGGACCTAAGTGTAAGTAGAAATAGCAAGACGTAAACCCGAAATCCTGCAAGTTTATGAGACGAAAAAAGGACACCAGCAATCCTACCATCATGTAAAACAATTACAGGCTTTCATTTTCACTCACTTGGCAGGACGGTAGTACCTCCCTGGGCGGTTGCTGTCTACCAACCTACCCACCGAGGATGTTATTATTTGATATATATATATATATATATATATATAAAATTTTTATATATATATATTTTATAAAATTATATATATATTTTAATAGAGAGAGAGAGAGAGAGAGAGAGAAGAATAAAACTTGCTTCAGGAAAACTCAAGGTTCTCCCTGAAAGCTGTTTTATAATTTTCTCCCCACCACCCCCTATATTTCAAGTATGTTTTATTTAAAGACAGAATACATTGGCCAAACATTCACAAAAATACAACAGAAGTAAAAACACATAGGTTTAAATCAGAAACTACATCTCGAATACTTCGTCCGCTTCCCTGCGGTGGCCGCGTGCCAGAATGCTGCAGGCATTTCCTCTCTGGTCGCAACACTGAGTCTCTGAAAGAGGAAGCTGGTCGCCCTGTGGTCCCTTTGGTTTCTATGATGACTTTTCACCTAGCTCTTTGAGGGAACTTTAGAAGCACCTTGCCCCAGCTCCAAGGGTCTCCGACCCAATAGGAATGAAGCTATAGCAAGGGGGAAGTCTTTATATTTTCGGATCTTCTGGGTCTCCCTGTGGCTGGCAGCTCCACTCCCTTCCCCTAACGGGGTATGGCAAGTAGGGGTCTGGCCAATGTAGCAGCACAGGTGTAGTCCCAGGCAATCTGCTTTCCATCCTTCCAGGGTAGCATAGGGGGCTCCATCAGGACCGTTGACTTCCATCAGACCTCTGTACTTGGGGTTCCGTTGAGCTGGGCACGGGCTGTGGCGAGGCTTCTCTTTATTATGTCATTTACCTCCTCATGTCTGGGATTTCTTCTTCTGCTGTGTGACCCCACGAGACCATGCAGTCCGAATTGATCAGCTGTCGCCCTGCCGCAAATACACCTATGTTCGGTGAGGATGGGGGCGGCTAGGCGAAGAGAAACACCAATCCGAATGGCCTGTAGGTCGAGAAAGGGTGCCCAGGGAGGAATTGGGAACAGTTAACAGGAAATCCCTGAGTGTGGTGCCTTCACTCCAGGAACGAGCTTTCTCTTTCCGAAGCATTTAGAGTTGTGTTTGGCGA